AACTTTAGTCTTTTACAAGAATGATGGACATATGAAATGAAGAAGGATACGTCGTGGACTACGCCAACTTAAACGTCTTATTAGAAATAAAAGGCTTTAGTACAACAGAAATCGACCGTCGTCTTCAGGTGAAGTCGACCTTCGAATCTCTCCTTCATGTACTTTCATACAAAATGAAAGTCTCCCCAACAATAGTATTTTAGGAAATTCATCGAAACCCAGTTACTCTTCGTATCTAAAACGCATACACACAATAAGTTAAAAGAAAGTGATAAAGAACCTACCCCAAAAGGATCAGCCTTTTCCCAGGAGAATTTGTTCGGCACCGAGATGGTCATTGAAGTGATCGACCCGGGTGGATAGCGACTGCCAGCAGGCCCAATCTTCGCATCTAGAAGAGACTTGTAGTCAGTGGTATCTGGCCTATCCAGAATTTGTAGAACATCTACGACATCACATTTATTAGCAGTGCTATCAGAGATAGGGATGGCAGCGTCGGTGACAACAGAGGGCATTTTAGCCAAAAAGTCAGGTTCGTCTCCGTGAGCTGATGCAGGAGAGACGAGTGCTGCTGAAGAGACTGACGAGGAAGAGTGAGAATAAGAGGCACTAGGATGGTAGGGCGGTGGGGCGCCCTGACCAGGGGTCAGAGAGGCAGAGACCCGAGGGGAACTAGAGTGGGACTCCTTGTGAGTCAAATATACAGCAGTGGGGCAGGAAGAAGGAAGTGAATGGCGCCACCTTTCGGAAAGAGACTCTGGCACAAACGCTAGAATGAAGAGAATATCAAGCAAGGCGATTGCAGTAGCCAAGGCTACGACGAAACTATCACTATAGATGCGGCCAAGATAGGCACCAATAGCCGGTGAACTGATTAAGCTGGCAGCAAAAGTAGCCGATACCTACAAATAAAAATTAGTGATTATAAATTTATTTATTTATTTATTTATATATGAGCAGATGAGACTTTGATGTGGGTTATAAAGAATCTGAGAGGAGACAATAAGGTAACTACATCGAAATCCAAATTGACTAGACTCAAAATCAAACATTTTAAAAGTCCTATTAGTTATTTAACACATAAGCAACAGTTCAAAAAGCTTTAGATTCAAGAAAACATAGTTATATAGAAGAAACCTATTAGGAGTATTTCGTGAGTTTTAGAGACCTGACTTCCGCTCTACTCTTGGCAAACTATTCACCATCTGAAATACTTCTACGTAAGTATCTACATTATCATTAAAAAAATGGTCATAGTAATAAATATGCCACAAAGATTAAGATTTATTGAGATGATGCACATAATATAAAACAATGACGCATAAAGAGAAGGACACAAAGGATGACTGATCGAAGGCCATGTATGGATTTCAACATAAAACAAACAAGAGTAGATTTTATACAATTATTGTATCTATGTAGTGTATTTGCTATTAATAAAGCCCATGGCTATGAGTAGGCCGTGCCGCAGCAATCAAATGCAATAGTGAGAACAGTTTTGTCAGAGATCAAATAAACTTTTAAATATCAATTACTTATGCATAACAAGTGAAAATGTATCATTGGAATAATGTATCTGGTCCAGATATAGAACAATAGCTGAGTAAACATTTGAAGTAAAGAGACTCATTTATTCTCAAAATTATACAGGTTGAGCAAACCTATTATATATTCTTAGGTGCTCTACACAATTTTGCCAAATTTAGAAAATGATATATGTCCCAGCAATGGTGAAATAGACAGGAGAATGCATAAATAATATTTTGATTTACGAATATCGACTACTAAATAGGTCGTGCACATCGACCGTTATGGCTATTCAAAGGTCTATGTAAAAAAAGAAGAGCTCCGAATAAACCCCAATCATTTTATGTTAGTGGGCCATTCCGTTAGGAAGCCTAACACTTGCCATGTTTTGGGGAGACTTTGGAACCTCTATCAAGCTCGGGATGTAACGTGCATTGGAAGAAGACCTGCTGAGTCATTTATGAGGCTAAATGAACACAAAACCACAAGCTAATATTTACGGGTGGATAAATCAGAATCAACGAAACATAGGCAGTATATATAACACCAGATAAAAAGGTTTAAAATCGTATACTATGCAGATGGTGGCTTCATAGCCAAGCAGAAGATTAGCGAACCAATAGAAGTAGCATAACTACCAAATCATGAATAAAAAGAATAAGTATAGAAAATTGAACGGAAATTACTCGTGGTTGTAGAGCTACTGGTGGTTTCGGAACCCAATTAATCCGAATATAGAGTGGGAGCTGGAAGAATTGCTGAGCAGGAGGCTTGATTAGCCCGGAGTCTGGCTTTGGCTCCAATACCTTAATTCTCATAAAAATGCAGACATACAACACACATACAAACGAACACAAACGTATGAATGAGTATTGTAGGAGAAAAATCGAGTTAGGCAAGTAAAAGAGGGTTCAGGGTCACAAGTTCGTCCATTTCATATTTCGTTCATATAAACTTTTCTTGCTTGCAATGACCAATGAAAAGTACAAACATACCAACTAAATTACTAAGTAGGCAAATTTAGGCTATAAGAGGTAGGTAGGACCATGGCCGACTACCCTTGATGGCTCAGTTTGATGAGGTTTCCTTAAGAACAGCTTTATGCTATAAGGATGCTTCTAGCCCAACAGACAAAAGCAAGGATTAATAGGGAACGCAAGAAGCTGCACTAAGGGCCTGTAAGCTTAAATTTTCACCAAGTCGTATTCCGATGAGCCCAATTTACACATTATTTCCACCCTTATCATACTGAATGATAAGGTATATTTTTTCCAAAATGCCAAATATTGTCTAAAATAAATTCTGTAAATCAAGCAAGCAAGAATCATGGATGTATACTGACAAATTTAATCAGCTCATTTACATCAGCGTTTCCATTTAGTGTAAAAAAGAGCAATGATGAGTATAGTCTAAAATCGCTCCACAAATGGCCCCTAACAATATAAAGTGTATCGGAGGCCCCATTTGACATGATTTATCCACACATTCAATTGAGTTGAATGTTAAATTTCCCTTAACAGGCCTATCCCCTAACAGTTTTACTCGCTGAGGCTATGAACAGTCTCCGTTTCCATGCCC